GTCGCGGTCGGCTCTGCAAAACAAGCGTTTCGCTCGAGACATCCTCGGCAAACTCTGCGGAGCAAGCGTTTCGCTCGAGACATCCTCAACACACGAAAAAGTGGCCCGCACCCTGTGATTTATCGATCGGGATTTCAAAAACAAGCGTTTCGCTCGAGACATCCTCAAATTTTAATTCGCCGGCCTCCTTCGACCTCGTTATTTATCAGGGAAAAAATTCGCCGGCCTCCCTCAAGTTGGCACCGGGGGACAGGTTTACCTACTAAAAGAGAACCCTGGGCCCAGGCCCTTTCCGGGAAAAACACAATTACGTACAAGAAGATCCGGCGGGAGCACCGGCTGAAGGAGCACCCCGAGTACGACGACCAACAATGGCGGTGCCTAGTGCTAAGGGCTACTCTGCTGAAGAAGTCGCCCGACGGCATGCTGGATACACGAGGTCAGCGGGACAAGAGAGCCAAAAGCCAAGTAGTCCTGCCTCCACTGCCTGTCCACCAGATCCGGCCCTGAGCAGAGCGGCTGCGCCGAAAGCGGGAGGCACGGGAGAGGAAGAAAGCAGCAGGGCGCTGCTGAGGCGGAGCCAACCGCCACGACGACCAATCCCACGTCCGTCCTCCCTCCCCCTCCCCCTCCTCCCTCCTTTCCCCTCTCTGCGGCATGTACCACGCCAGCCGGACTACAGAGGGCAGGCACGACCAATACGCCAATAAAGATGGGAACGATCAATATCGCATCTTGGGCACAGCATGGCAAGGACCTTCTGGCTACCGCCGAGGAGCTGGAGCTGGAGTTGCTGGTACTGCAGGAGCATGGGTGCCGGCACGCAGACATACCCAGGGCAGGCAAGCTCGCTGCTGACCACGGGTACGTATGGACGAGTGGAACCTCTTGTGACGACCATGTGGTGGGTACCGGGAGGAGTGGTAGAACACGGGACGAATGTGGTGGCCTCAGTGTGCTGACGACGGGCCGTGTCCGGGTCACCCGGATCGCGTCTGAGCGCAGGACGGGCACTGGGAAGGCTGTCGCTGGGGGTGAGGGTGCCATCTTTCACATCCACACAGCTCACCGTACAGCACTGCTGGCTGTGGTACACTTGCGGGCGGCCGACGACGACGACGCACGGAATGGTATGCTACAGCGGGTGGCAGAACAGCACGCTACGTTAGGAGGGGGGATCCCACTGCTGATCGCTGGCGACTACAACACTACGCCGGAAGATCCCATCATTACCGAGACTGCACGGTTACTGGGGCTCCGGGTCCAGAGCCCAGGAGAGTCCACGAGATGGGAATCGAGCTGGGAGATCGACTTTTTCATGGTCACGAAAACTATGACAACTACCGGGGCTGTGGCGAATACGCATACACTATCTGACCATAAGTTGGTGACAGTGGATGTGCAGTTCGACGCACCACAACCTACTGCCGGATGCTCGTGGCGGCGTGCGGCACGGCACGGTACGCTGAAGACGACTCAAGACGCAGCACGAGCGGACGCACGAGGCACCGCAAACACGACCACGACGCAAAGCACGAGCAGACCAACAACTCAGCACGACCCACAACAACATCCAACACGCGATCATGGCGCAGATGCAGCACCACGCAGCACGCCCACGACGCAGCACGAGCAGACCCACAACGCAGCACCACCGACCCATGGGGACATCGTGGAGGGCCTGGTTGCCCAGTGGAGGGCTTTACCAGCTTACGACATCCATGACGCCACCGTGGACGAGTGGTGGACGGACTGGAGTGTACGAGCAGAGGCAGTACTACAATCCCAACCCGCGGTGGTCCTGACCAAGGGCGCTGTCCCTAAATCTGGCTTCTCGTTTGCCCAGTGGGAGCGAAGGGAGAAAGGCGACGACGTCTGGACCCGGCACACGCGGCAACTGCGGCGACTCATCCAACGGCTCCGGTCCCCGCCGGCACGGCGAGGGCGGAAAGCAGCCGGAAAGATAGCACAGTGGGAACGGCAAAACCGGAAGTTGTGGCAACAGAACATGGGCGGCGCTAAGCCGGACGACGACCAAGAAGCCATCGAACAAACTACCAAAGCGCTCGGCAAGGCCATCCAAGGGTGCAAGAATGAGCGTGTCAAGTGCTGGCGGAAGAGGCTCCAGGCAGATGGTCTTGGGAAGACCACAGCAGCATGGATCCAGAACGCAGTGAGCACCTACCACAACGTAGCGGCGCAGGACGACACTAAGAGCGACCATGACAGCGGGAAATTGCAACTACACGACGACTCCACGCCCACCAACTACTTTTCACAAGACGCGGTGGAAAGAATACGGGACCACTACGAGCAGCACTTCACGGAATGCGGCCGTGGCAACGATGTGGACGGGTATTTCTGCCACTACGACGACTACATTGAGGAGGCACGCCAAGATGTTCAACGAGCACAGGAGCAACACGACCATAGAGCACGACACGCCATGGCAGCCCTTGGCTGCTGGGACCACTGGGCGCCACAGGCGGCAGCACAATTCCGCCACATGCTACACGAAGCACAGCAGCAGGGCCAGACCAATGGGCGCCCTCGGAGCTCATGCTCCTCCCGGAGGAGGCACTGGAAGAGCTGGTTGACCTCTGCACATACTCTGAGTACCACGGATGGCCGTCGCAACTCCTGCAGTGGCGCCAGGTCCACCTACCAAAAGACCCAGACACAGCACTCCCGAGCCTGACCCGACTACGCCCTATCGCAGTCGCGAGCGCCGTGGTCCGCGCCTGGCACAGATGGAGGGCAGACCAACTGGCCACCTACCTCAGCCCAGCTTTCCTGCCCACGCAGGGGGGCGGTCTCAAAGGGCGGACCCTCGAATCCCTCATCGAGCCATGCCTCTCGCTCATTGAGAGGACAATCGCGGCGAACAGGTACGACGACGAGGACGGCTCGCTGACAGAGGAGGAGCAGCGGCTGGTTCGAGAGCGTCAAACGGAGCTGCACGTCAAGTCGTGGGATTATGCCTCAGCGTTCGACAGGGCTTCCCCCCGGGTCGTCTGCGAGGTTTGGTCGCGACTCGGAGTACCGTCCAGAATCACCAACAGTATTGAAGCGATCTGGACCAAGCAGGAGAGGTGGGTTGAGGACGGCCCGCTCTTAACACCACGGACAATCCTGGTTGAAGACAGTCTGCCACAAGGGGATCCAGCAGCCATGCTCGGGATGGCCACCCTGCTCATGGGGCCACTACGACGGCAAGCTGCGCTGCACCCACGAGCAACCTTTTGCACCTTCGCGGACGACCGCACGGCGGCCACGACAGAGGCAGAAGAACTACGGAGCATCGAGGAGGAGTGGGAGCTGCTGGAGTCGGTCACCGCGCTGCGCACCAACGACAGCAAGACGCAGTCCTTCACGATATTACCGCACCAGTGCGACAATTACCACCTGCAGAGCAAGAAGATGAAATGCCTCGGAATCGACTTCACAATGCAACGCACGACGCTCACGACCAGAGAGCGAGGCAACCTTGAAGAGGCACTTGCCCGCATGAAGCGGATTGCGCGCCTGCCCCTGAGCATGCGGCTGCGCACGACCGCGGTGAGCACCATCGCGCTGCCGGTGTCGCGCTGGGCACTAGCGGTGACGCCACCGACAAAAGGAGCTATCCAGGACCATCTACGACAAGCACGAAAGGCTGTGACCCTGCGGAAATGGCCCCGGGCAGCTCCCGAACTACTTCGTCTGGTAGTAATGGGGCATAGCACCGACCTACGGCACCACCTGTGCCGGCGAGCACTACAACTTCTGAGCAGCAGACTACGTCGACAGGGGCCTGGAGCACTTGCGCTTTGGGACAAGATCACGATCAAAACCGACACGCGGGGGCCACTCCACGCCTACCGAGCACACTTGGCATCGCTTGGAGCAGAGCGCAGCGACGACGGCTTCTGGAGAGGCCCGGCGGGATAACTTCGACTTACCGACAGAACAGACCGACAGCTCCACGAACTACGACTCATACTCCGATCCCACGAATGGGCAATCCTACAGGGCCGGAGCCGGCGGGAGAGCCCCATGGCGGCCGGATAGCCCTTCCCAGCTGCTGCCGCGCGCGCGGCACAGGAAGCACGGAAAGCTAACCCAATCCTCGCCTCACACATCGCTGCCGTCCTCTGCGGCTGCGTGGTCTCGGACGCCCTGCTGCAGTCCAACCAAGGCGAGGAGGTCTCGACCACCTGCGACCACTGTGGTGAGCAGCGCGGTGGTGAGCAGCGCGTCCCGACGCTCGACCACATGTGCTGGGTGTGCACAGCCAACGCCGACCTCCGGCAAGGTATCGCGGTACCAACGGCTGACCTCACCCGCCGGCTGGGCTGGCCGACAGAGGACCTCACCAGGAGGACCACGACTACTTGGACAAAAATGGTGTTGGCTATGGCAAGCATGCGGCAGCGTGCGCTGGACCACCGACACAAGAAACCACAGGCACCCACTTCCTCCGACAATGGTTTATAAACGTATTCAATGGCTATTATTTGGATCGCATGTGTCAACAATTGGATTATGTTGTACTTCAGTTCTTCTTTGGGCTGGTGTCTTCTGTTCTCCAGGTACACAGTCTACATATATGTGGGACTAAATTACATATTTACGTAATTGCATGTGTTGCGTACCATAAGTGGGGACCGCCACACAACGGTCGCCGCAGCTCTGCGAGCTGCGTGGTGTCCTCATACGCCTACGGATTGGGGACACGGATTGGTTATTCCCCGAAGTGACTTGAAGAAGCCCCTGCCCTGTCCACGGCCGCGGGGAACGGCGGGGGGCGCCGCGCGCTCCCCGTGCCCGAAAACCTGGACCGGCAGGGGGAGGGAAGAGGAAGATGACGACGGCGGCGGACGGCGATGACGGCGGCGGCGACGGCGGCGGCGGCGCTGACGGCGACGGACGGCGGCGACGACGGCGACGGCGGCGGCGAAGGCGGTGGCGACGGCGACGGCGGCGGCGGCGACGGCGGGGAACGCGCGGGGAGGGGGCGCCTGCGGGCTCCGAGCGCCGATCGCGCGGCGCCGCGGACCCGGGGCCAGGCGGCAGCGCCTCGGGGTGCCGCGCGGTCGTCGCAGCCGTCCTCTGCGCAGGCGCCACCTGCCATTCACCTGTGCATCACCACCGTGCCTGGCCAGGGCAGCCCTGGGCCGCGGCATGGCGTGCCTCGCCGAGCCCTTGGGGCTCCTCGGCGTGTGAGATACAGTAGGGGCCCGACCACAAGAAACCTTCCACAAGAAACCCAACCCTGTGATCCCAGGACGTCCATGCAGTTTTGGGGTGGGAACGTCGCGCTCTCCATGGCAGAACCATCGAAACCCAAGAAACCAGGGCACCCTGGAGGCAAGCAGGGTGTTTCTTGGCATGGGTCTCCACTGTAGTTGCTCCTTGCCAAACCCCCCTCGGGAGCCAAGTGCGGAAATTTCGGAGGGCCCCGCAGCTTGGCCTTCACAGGTCGGCGGTGCGGCGTAAGCCCGTACACCATCGATGCACCACCCACTGCAGGTCGTGACGACTTCTGCGATAGTTCCTGACACCGCGCGGACCGTTGAATCCTGGACGAGGCTCTCCGATCACTAGGTCGTTCCATGCTAGGCCGATTCTGGGCCACCGGCGGCGTTCTACCGCGTCGACACGACACAACCGTGCCTGGCCAGGGCCATCCTGGGCCGCGGCATGGTGTATACGCACCTCCTGGCCGAGGCCATGAGGATCTGAACACCATCCCAGTGCCCAGGATGCCCCTGGCCAGGCATTGTGGTGTGCAGGTGCCTTCTGTTGAGGCGCTGGTCCGAACGTAGGATGCTGATTGGGCCGTTGGCCTGTCGCGTCCAAGTGCAAGCTGCGAGGGCAAAGCGAAGCCGTCTGAGCAGGAGCGGCATAGATCAGGAGCGCATGCTTTGGTTAGCGTGGCTCAACATACAACATTCTGAACACGGCAACGCACAGCGTAGCATGAAGCGGCAGTCTATAATACAGCACAAAAGACCGCCGTAACAATTGCTGACCGAAGGGGCATCACCGAGCACTGCAAAGCATAACCCTGCACAGGGGATCCGCCACAGTGCCCCCTGGCATGTTGAGGCGTGGAAGAATGCCAAGCGCTGTCTTTTAGGGCCTTGTAAAATCTAACACGGGACCGCCCCTCTTCTACTGCCGGACAGCCGCATGCTTCCCCCTCCCGAGGCCACTTCCCTCGTGCCCGCTCGAAGGCAGTGCCGCTCCCAGCATTTCAACTAATGCCTAAACCCCCATTCTACGCGTGTCCGCTCGAGGATGGTGCACTTCCCGCATGGCTGCTAACTCCTCGACCTTTCATCCCACGCACACCGGCTCGAGCCTTCAAGGCGGACAAAGACGCCTCCAAGATGGCCCAGAAGTACCACGAAGAGAACCCCAAACAGGGTGCGACGACGCCAGAATCATTGATGTCCCTCGGGCGTTTGAATGACGGCCCAAGAAGCATCCACGATGGCCCCAAAACAACCCAAGAGGCTCCAAAGATGGCCCGAGAGTCAGCCCGAGAGGACTCCACGATGGCCTAGGAAGCATCCAACACGGCCCCAAGACAGCCCAAGAGGGCCTCTCGTGGAACCCAAGACGGCCTTGAAATCCCATTGACGGCTCAAGACGGCGCCCAGACGACCCGCAGACAACCACCGTACGGCCAAGAGGGCCCCAAGTCGGCCCAAGAAAGCCCCAAGACGGCGTTAGATAGCCCCAAAACGCCTCAAGTCCCGCCGCCACGTTGGAACCAAAGGTTAGAGCCACCGCCACCCCACTGACCCTCCCCCCGCCCTTAAAAAAAACTCACTCTCAGCCAGGAGCACAGACAGTGGGTCGCAAACGATACCTCCATCCAGACTCAAAGTTGTGGACGGCTTCAATTTGGCAGCTCCTTTGGCAACCAAATTTACCCTCCGCGCTCCACGGTCAGACCGGTTGAGAATACAATCCTTGGGGCTTTTAGAGGCAGCCCGTCGGACCAGACCTTCGACGATCCCAAGGACACCATGAGACTCCGAGAACATACCATTAAACCATTCGAGCCAAGCTCCAGACATTTCTTCGTGCATCGGGAGCTCCGTGCAAAAAGCCCATCAACAGGCCCAGCCACCTTACACGGTGCCCTGAGCAAGAAACCATCTGAGCAGGCGGCCCAAGCAACATCCAGAAAAATGCTGATACCTCGGTGGTCCCCGCGCGCCCAGTGAGCAGGCAACCACCTGCTGGCACAAACACAAAATACAACGACTGCCTACCGGGCGGCAAAACGGGCTTCCAAAACATATGAGCCCTCCCCACCTTCCCTCCCCGAGCTCCCCAACACGGAAGCGACGCCCAAATCGCCGCAGCGACTTCCGTGTCGGCCGTGTTGGCCACAACTTGTAAGCCTTGCCCACCTTAATCTGGACATCAGAAAGCAGCCCGCCCCTCGCGGATAGCTTCACCGCCCCGAGAACGGACGGAAGGCGAGGGGGCACCTTCGCCGAGGGCACCACCGACACGGGGGAGGCCGCATCGACTGATCACCTGGAATCGGATGCCAGCTGATCAGCGAGGCACAGCTCTACCACGAGGACCAGGAGAATTCCTCGACGTGCGACGCGAAGGTATGGAGGAAGGAGCTCTGGTGATCTCGGTGATCTCAGAGGACGTACCGCTACCAGGCGGACCATCGGCGGCGCCATCGGCAGCCGCTACGAGGGAGACCGCATCCAGCCACGCCCTGGCACCTGTGGTGGCCGAGGGGACCACAGGCGAGGCACTTGAATCCGCAAGGCCTGAGCCCTTGAGCTCTGCCCCTCGAGTTCACAGCGTGGAGACGGCCCGAGCACAGCAGGGCGAGAATCTCAGACCACCTGCTCCAGTACTTGAACCAGCGCATGAGCGAGAGCATATGTCTGGTCAGGAAGTACCTGTAACTGATCATGATGATGGTGGTGATCCGATCGAGCCCGACACGAACGACCTACCCGACCCTACCACTCCTCAACTCCTGCCTGAGAGAGGCGATTTTCCGCCCGGCTTCCCGGCCTACGGGCCCGAGATGACGCTTCCGCGGCGGCTGCGAGATCGAAGCAACCCCATGGCCAGGGTTGACCTCGTCGAGAACGACTCGGTTGCGTCCTACTACACCTGGATCAGCTACGCATGGCTGGTCAGGAAGTCCCGAGGGAAGGAGGTCGTGCTCGCTGACCTCACCGGGGCGCAGAGGTCCATGTTCGACGCGAGCACGGCGAAGGAGCGGGAGAACTGATGCCACCTCCGGGCGGTGACCCTGGTCACGGGCGAGGCGGCCAAGGAGCTCTTGGGACAAGTCAAGGCGATACGGTAGGTTCGTGCGGTGTCGGCGCGCGTAAAGGTTTTTGACACCGCGTCGATCGTTCAATCTTGAATCGATCGCGGCCTCGATTGTTCAAGGTTAAATCCAGTCGGGCCCAATGGCATTACCGGGCCCATCGGTGCTTCCGCGTCGCAGAATTCAACCTTTAACGTCTTCGCTGGCGTCGCCAGCGCGTCAACGCCGCAGGAACCTACCGTACCCTCAAGATGGGTGCATATCAACAAGAACGAGTACGACCCGAAGGTGCCCATGAAGGCGCGACCTCGGCCAGTGGCGGTCGGCTGCTACGAGTCGATCCACGTCAGGACGCACTTCTCAACATCGTCACTGCTGGTGCTCCACCTGATCTGCAGCACTTCTGCCAGAAAGCATGGGCAATTATTCAAGCTCGACGAGACGAGTGCCTATCTGCAAAGAGATGATGTCGACCGGATGCTCGTGCTGCGTTCAACTCTACCACCTGGAGTACGTACCCGCTAATTCGATGTTTGCATGTCATGGTGCGATCTACGGCACGAAGGCTACGTAGGACGCTGCGCGGTAACACTTGGCAGGAGAGCCGCTTGGAGCGAGCCTTCTTCTTCCTCTTCGAAGGCAAGCTCGTCGGCCTAGTCGGTACCTACGTAAACGACCTGTTCGCCACCGGCAACCCAAACAGCGCCCTGTTCAAGACCACGATGGACGAACTGAAGCGTGTATTACTACTCACGGAGCAGAAGCCAACGTCCCTATACTGCGGCAAGTACGTCGAGAACGCCTCGGACTTCTCGATCAAGGTCTGGAGACGTTGATGATGTCCAAGGCATGATCCACGCAGATCAAGGTGTTAGCTACGGATGAAGACAGGAGCTTCGGAGAGTCGGTGATCGGCTCACTCGGGTGGCTTTCGAGGGAATTACGTGCGGAGTTCTCGTTCGGCTACAGCTGGCTGGCGCAGCACAAGAACCAGGCCACTGTACAGCACCTACTGGAGATGAACAAGCTGGTGAACTACTGAAAAGAGACGCGCGACGCGTGCCTGCTTTCGGAGCGGCGCTCTTCAACAAGACACACCTACGTGCTATCGTGTTCGCGGACAGCAGCCTCAACAACGTCGATGACCTGACCCTCGGCCCGCTCGGTAGGTGAAGTCCCAGCTCGGCTTCGTGTGTGCGCTCTCGGACGAGGGCCTCTACAAGTGCGGCGAGAGGCCAGTACACTTGCCGGACTGGGGCAGCTCTAGGATCGAGAAAGCCTGCAGGGCCTCGATGGGATTTGAAGACTATAGACTCACTCAAGGAGCTGAAGCGTTGGAGAGGATCCGAGCCCTGTACTACAAGATAGACAAGCCACATCAGCCACTTGGCGACCTGATAGTCGCCATGGCGACGACCCTGGTCCCGACAAGTGGCACAGTGATGCGAAAAACTTGGTGACCCACCGCCTCGCGGACGCTGGCCAGGTTGCAGACCGTCGAGGTCGCGTGGCCATTGCAGCCCTACGAGAGATGCTCTCCCAGGATGGAGTCGACATGGAGTGGTGCGACACGTCTGTCTAGTTGGCGGATGCTTTGACGAAGCTCGAGTCGGAGAGGGGCTACCTGACCACGGCGATGAAGGGCGGATTCGTGAGTGCGAAGGTCTCCGCCGAGGCGGCCTCAGCCAAGGAGGCCATCAGGACGGCACGCCACAGAAGTGCAGAAGAGCGAAGGGCACGAGATGCCCAGAGTGAAACCGACAGGGTAATGAATGGCGCAACAACAGGCTAATAATCTCTATGTTTGAGGCCTTCCGGCCATCCTTTGTGGCGCTCCGCGCCAGCTCCGCATAATGAAGCCAGATGATCGAGGACGGGTGTTGAATTGCACCAACGATCATCACTCTGTTAGCCTCTCCCCTGCCGCTGCCTGCCCTTACCCGCTCGACCATCACATTTCGATCCACAGAGCTCTCGAGACTTACGGTGCAAGTAACCAAGAAGACCCGACAAGCGGCGGCCTGTCCCTTGAGAGGAGGAGGAGGAGGAGGAGGAGGAGGAGGAGGAGCAGCAGCAGCAGCAGCAGAAGAAAGGGGAGGAGGGCAGGAGGGGGAGGAGGAGGAGCAGCAGCAGCAGCAGCAGAAGAAAGGGGAGGAGGGCAGGAGGGGGAGGGGGAGGGGGAGGAGAAGGAGGAGGAGGAGAAGGGAGGAGGAGACTGGAAAGATGAGCACGAGAAGAGGAGTCACGCAGGGGAAGGGGGAGGGTGAGGAGGAGAAGGAGCGCGGAGGAGGGGAGGAGGTAGAGAGTAGAGGGTCCAGGAGGAGAGGAGGGGGGAGGAGAAAGAGGGAAGGAGTAGGAGATGAGGACGAGGAGAAGAGGAGAGTAACATAAGGAGGAGAAGAGGAGAATGAGAAACGAGGAGGGAGGAGTGTTGGAGAGAGGTAGGAGGAGGAGGCGGAGGGAGGAGGAGAGGAGGAGAGGAGGGGGGAGGAGGAGGAGGGGAGGAAGGAGGGAAGGAGGGGGAGGGAGGGGAGGGAGGAAAAGAGGAAGTGAAAAAAGGGAAACAAGAGGGGGAAAGAGGAAAAAAGAAGAAAAAAAAAGGAAAAGGAGGGAGGGGGGAAAAAAATGAAGATGAGGAAAAAAAAAAGAAGAGGAACGGAGGATAAAAGGAAAGAGGAGAGATAGGAAAAAAAAAAAGGAGGAAGAGGAAGAAAGGAAAGAGGAGGAAAAGAGGAAAATAAGAGAAGAAAAAAGAGGGAGAGAGGAAAGAAAAAAGAGGAGGAAGGAGGAGGAAAAAGAAGAGGAGGAGGAGGGGGAGGAGGAGGAAGAGGAAGAGGAGGAGGAGGAGGAGGAGGAGGAGGAGGAGGAGGAGGAGGAGGACTGCAGGCCTGGCGCGGCTGCTGCGGGAGGCGGCGCTAGCCGGAGGCGCCGCTGCAAGCTGGAGGAGCTGGCGGGGCGGCTGCAGGCTGGCGCGGCGGCCGGAGCGGCGACACAGCGGCGGTGCTGGCCAGCGCGGCGCTGCTCGACGCCCGGGAGCGCGGGGCGCGGGCGCTGCCAGGCCCGACGCGGGCCGGCGAGGGCGGGGGGACGACGCCAGCGCCGGCACCATCCTCCTGGTCGCTGTGGCGGTCCCGGGTATGCTCTCCAGAGGCCCTGGCTGGCAGACCCCTCCCCCCTGGGAGTGGCCGCTGTCTGAGACTGCCGGTCACCCCCGCAAGAGCCGTCCTCATTCCTTGGGGGGCGGCGGAGGGTTCTGCAGCAGCCGGCTCCCGATCAACGTGCACTGGGGCGCGCGGCAGACTCGCGCGCGCCGCCGGAGGAGGAGGAGGAGGAGGAGGAGGAGGAGGAGGAGGAGAAAGAGGAGGAGGAGGAAGAGGAGGAGGAGAGAGGAGAGGGAAGAAGGGGAGGTGAGTGCCGCCTGCCGCGCCGCCGCGGGGTGCGGCCCACCGCCAGCGCCGAGGACGTCCTGGCAGTGGGGGCGGGCGCGCGGCTCGCGGGTCGACCCGCCCCCAGAGCTCTTCCCCGGCGCTCGCTGCCGCGCACGGAGATCTTCGGCAGGGTGGGCCATCGGGCCCCTACCGGCGATCAGCGGGAGGCGGTGGGCCGACGCCAAAGTGGGCACAGGAAACATGGGCACGATGCTCAACGACACATACGATCCAAAGCCGACAGCCGCCGCTGTTGGGCAAGCGGCCTTCTGCTCGAATGGACGTCGCCAGCGGCGGCACCGACAGCAAGTTCTGTTCAAAATGGACAAGAACTGCGGTCGGTCTTTGTCCCTATTCTTTCCGCACTCATGTCGTTCGTGCCGAATCCACCCTGAGACTGTTCCCCCTTAGCGCTGAACACTGGTTTTCGGGTCCAAACCGGGCTCCCCAACGGCCTTTCGGGGCGATCGGGACACCTCTTGAACGCTCCAGGCGAGGCGCAGCTGCTGAAGGCACCCCGAGGGTGAAAACCCGCCGAGAACCAACGAAAACGTACGAAAACCTCGAATGGTGCCCCTTGAGCACATCACCCTCCTGACGCTGCCCCCCTGAGTGGCCCTCCTCGAAGATCTGCCGATGGAGGGCACTCGACGGGGGGCAGACTGCGGTCCTTCGGGGCGACGCCGTGGCATCGCAGTCGGTGCGCGGGCCCCCCCTGGATTCCTGCCTCCGTTCCCCCCTCGCTCCATCTTCATAGTTCCACCTCCTCCTCTTCCCCCAATCCTCCTCCCGCGCCCTCTCTTCCACGTCAATCCTCTGTTCTTGCAAGTCGTTGTTCTGCACCGCTCCTCTGTCCTCCTCCTCCTCCTCCTCCTCCTTTTCCTCCTCCACCTCCTCCACCTCCTCCTCCTCCTCCTCCTCCTCCTCCTCCTCCCCCTCCTCATCATCATCCTCATCCTCATCCTCATCCTCCTCATCCTCCTGCTACTACTACTACTACTACTACTACTGCTACTACTACTGCTACTACTACTGCTACTACTACTTGTACTACTAATACTACACTACTACTACCACTACTACTACTACTACTACTACGACTACTACTACTACTACTACTACTACTACTACTACTACTACTACTACTACTACGACTACTACTACGACTACTACGACTACTAACTACTACTACTACTACTACTACTACTACTACTACTACTACTACTACTACTACTACTACTACTACTATTACTACTACTACTACTACTACTACTACTACTACTACCACTACTACTACTACGATTACTCCTACTACTACTACTACTACTACTACTACTACTACTACTAC